TCTAATGTTTTTTTTTATTTTTTATTATGCTCTTATTTTGGGTATGTAAATATGTAATACTTGAAAGACAAATGCGTTTTTATGTTTTGAATGTGATAATATGGTATGTATATACTTATTTAGTATTATGTTTTTCATTTGATTATTTATTGGTTTAAAATATATTTTCCTTAACGGGTAACGGGTTGGGTCATATTACTTGTTAATATTATCGGGTCTGATCATTGTACCCGTTTATTTTAACGGGTGTTACACGACACGACCCGTTAAGATATCGGGTATGACACGAAAATGACATGAACACGGAAAACACGACACAAATGTTAGGTCTACTCTAAATACCAAACTTTTTTATTGAAAACTGTTGAACAACATCTCCACATCCTTTCCACTCCCCCCTTCATCCTCCTCGAATTCTCCGCCGACTTCCACTTCTTCTTACATCTCTCTCTCCCCCTCCTCCTTGCCTCAAAACCTTGACCCCAAACCCAATCTTGGCCCCAAGCCCAACCCAAATCCTTCGCCCACTCATTGACCTCGCCGTCATCGACCTGATCAAACTCCGCTTTCACCGCTCTCGCCTTATCTACAACAAGAACATGAGCGTCCTCGTTCAGTGGATCATTCCCCAGCAAAAATGCCTTTAGGATTTGCTTTGTCGCCTTCCGCAACAGCTAATCAGGATCTGAAACTAGAAACCTAAATGCAAGAAAGAGACAAAAGAAACACAAACTTGATGAAGGCAATAGGTCATTCCAGACAGGCTTTTGTGGAAGAAAACTAGAAGAAGAAACAAAAGTTGAGAGCAGAGAAGGCATTAGATTCATAGAAAATTATCAAATGGTAAAGATTTAATCAAATGGTAGGAAATCAATGGTCCGAGCAAGAGAGTTGTTTCCAAAAATTCTTAGACCCGCCATGCCCCGTTCCACCCTGCCCCGTCGCACTTTGACCTATTTTGTGTATATAACATTTGGACCTACACCGAACCGCATGAACCCGCCCCAACCAGTGGATCCATGACCCATTTTCCCACCGCTAGGATGAGCTCCTCCTTCAAATACCTCGTGACCTATTTATAGAACTTCGTATTTATGATCAGAATCGTTTGTGTTATAAGTCATGATGTAAAGACCATCTCTAAAAAAAAATCAATTAAAATTAAGAATGTTTGGTGATTTATAATATGAACGACTCTATTTATAAGCATAAAGTTCTATGAATAGGCAAAAAAGTATTTTGAGAAGAAACTTCACTTCAACCTTCAAGCCTTCCATATTAGTTTGTGTGAGTGTGCTACCTATGTATAGTAATCAAGCAACTTAAATTTGATACTTATAATACTACTGCTATACTAGTGTAAGTTCAATATTTGCAAAAGTCATACTTTAGAACTTTCTAGTTTATAAGTATCATACTCACGAGTTTAATAAATTAGTGTCACACGAAAACTTTTCGAATGTGATTCCTGTATGAACTCAATATATTGGTATAACACTTGCTTTTTCTGGTCAATGTGAACAGATAACGCCTTCCACGCTAAACCAGAAAACTATATGTGATACCAAGAGTATATGAATCAAACTCCTATAGTAAATAAGAAAATTTGAGTATAATGATCTCATGAGTGTGATACATATACAATAAATAGCAAAGATAAAGAAAATAAGTAGCCGATCATTAAATAAAGGAAAAATTAAAGGTGGATGGGTCCATATTTAATATAAAACCCATCATTATCAAACTCACACTATCATGAAAATAGTGTAATACATGTTAAACTCATGGTGTCTGATTATGAGATCAAATCTTTTGCATTTAAAATGGGTGTAATCTCTCTATGGCTCTAATAATTGACGGACAGGTATTTAAAAATTCTTTTTTTTTTTAAAATTTGTTTGTTATTTATTTAATATGTGTCAAATAATAATTGGAGTTAGGCCATACCCTTTTTTTTTTAACGATAAATTTTATTAGATTAATCACCGACAGAGGTTGAATCAACATCATCATGTAAAGACCTGACCCATTTTGATCTCTCTAATTCGTACATGTAATTCCACTTTTCCAACTGAAAGGGGTCCTCTCTGAATTCCTTACACCTAATTCTTTTCATTAAATAATCCGGGTTCTTAAAATACGATCCAATAATTATGATAACTTTTAAAATGAATTTTTGTTTTTAGCCGTTGGATCAAATTTCAATGTCCGGATTATTTGATGAGAAAAATTAGGGAAAGGATCCAGAGGCTCCGGATCCTTTTCCAACCACACCCAAGCGTCAAACTTCTACAATCCAAAGTCGGCAGCACCTTTACGAAACAACCAGAGCTCCGATGGACGTGGCATCGTCGTCGTCGGCGATAAAAACCGACACAAAACGGCCCCATACGACGGCGACAGGGTTGTTTTCGCCGATAAGCGATGACCTTCTCCACAACGTCCTTTCGCGCCTACCCGCCCTAACCTTCGCATCGGCGGCGTGCGTTAGCAAATCCTGGAACCAAATCTGCAGTCGCATCCTCAATCGACCGAAACTCGCCTCCGCCCTCTCTCTCCACCCCTCGCCTAAGGTTGGTTTAGCGTCTAGACCCCTTGTTTGGTTTCCGAGAATATCACAAGCTCAAATTTTCACGCACACTTTCTCAAATTTTGTGTTGGAATTGACAGGTTGCTGTGAATGAGGTTATCGAGAAGGTTCTGGCCGAACCGATACGGCCTCATTTCGTTGTAGCTAATATTGGAAGTGGGTTTCGATTGTATGACATTTCCAAGCTTGTATGTGTTCTTGCTCTTATATACCCTTTAATTATAATTAGTATCGAATTTAGATAATTTTTAATTAAGAGAAGCAAATTATGGAATTTTCTGTTGTTGTTTGTTTGAAATTGCAGATATCGAAAAAATTGGGGTCCAGTGTTCCATTCATCATTTCTACTTCAAGTGGAATTGTTGGAAGAGATGCTCTGACCCATGAAATCAAAGAGGTTTGTGGTTGTGTTTTTCGGGTGTGCCGAGTTTTTGTGCGTTACGATGTAGAAAGTTTAATTCTTTACTAATTGTGGGTAACATTTGGTTGTTTAGGTTAAGTGGGGAGAAGTTTGTGGTGATGGAAGTGATGAAGATTGCTCTATACCAGCAAAGGATGTGAACTGTGGCATCCTTTTGACTGTTGGCTTTGTGCCAGGATTGAAAGTTGATGTCATCCCGCTGTTACGAACAACAAAGGTGCCAAATTTACAATAAAACTACTACGCTGATTTCTTTAAGAATTCCACAGTGATGGATTTCGAAATGGGAAACTTAGGACATACAGTTTATGGTTGTTTTTGTCATTTTTGGGAATTTGTAGAGTCATTCAAGCTTTTCTGCTGTTTGAATAATGGATTTTCATGACGTGTAAATTTTTTTTAATGACATCAGGAACCTCGAGAGGTGTTGCTTGATAAATTCATCACGGATATTATGGATTACACAGCGTCTGTTTCAGATTGCACATCCCCAGTTGGAATTATGATGTTTGGAGTGAGTGGTTGTCCTCACACTTGATTGCCTCTCTCCCTCTTTATTTGAATCAGATGTAGCTTTCCTTTACTGCATTGCTAACATGGGACATGATTGATGGTGCAGGATGGGCTTCTTGACATGAAACCGATTGTTGATGCATTGGGTGAGTACTGAGAATATAATAAAAAGAAAATATTTTGTTTGATAGCTAAGAAAAATGAGGGATGATATCTTTATCACTTGAAACATTAGTGAGATAAGCCGCTGCTTCCAGATTTTGTGTTGTGATTAACTTTTCTGTTGCATGCTCATGCTGGGTCAAATTTTGTTGATTGTATCTCAATGTCTCAATTTGTTGCAGATTATACTATGCCTGCAGAAACTGTCATTGTGGGTGATGAAAGAGGTCGTTTTCTATATAGAAGTGAGAACGAGTCTAGAAATGTCTGCGGGAGTGCAAAATACTTTACAGACGCTGTTGCTCTTATATTTGCAAAGGATAAAGGCAAGCCACATGGTAAATGTTTGGTTTGTTCATTCATTTATAAAGTACTGTTTTGCCCATATTGTTTACAACGTAGTTTTATGCTAAGTTAGCTAACATGGATGCCTTCAGAAGTGTCACATACAAAGTAAAGAAATAAAAGACGCATCATTTCTTGATAGATTGCTACTGTAGCCTCGCAAAATTAGAGCTTCTTCTGATTGTACGTATAATTTGCAAAGCCCCATAGAAGATTGGAAACACATCCAGATCTATTCATTTGTGAAGTAATATTTTTTGTATTTAATTTTTTTTTTTTTTTTGTAAACATATTTAAAGCTTTCATGATTTTATAAAATTTCTTGCGCTTTCAAATTTTCAGTTACAGTATATCTCCAAATTTTGGAACCGTGTCCTATCAAAACTGCATAATTTTAAGGGTCTCATATTTGAGAGATGCATGCTAATCTCTACTGTTCACGAGTGAAGGTTTTCTATCACTCTTTTATGCATGTTATTTTTTCTCTTTTCAAATTGCTCTTATTTTAGTAGTTCACTTTCCAGATCTTGTACACCTCCTTATAGGCTTGTACAGTTCTGTAGATATTTGCCTCTTAATTTTCGGTTAACTTGTTTACTTCCTTCGTCCTGCTTTCATGTGGAAACCTGGGCCCACTCCTTTTCACTTACTCTTAACAATGTGTATATCCATGGTGGCTTTCTTGTTCTGTAAAGTTATAATGTCAAACCATCCAACGTGTTTTGTTAATCTCTTATTTGGTTTGGTATAAATGAGAAGGTATTGGAGACATTCAATTCCAAATTGCATTGTCAAACGGAGTGTCCACAGTAGGTCCCCGGCACAAGGCTGTTTCTGTCAAAGTGAATGAGTGTGAGCGTTCTACTTGGCTTACTGCTAGAAGAGAAGGACACCCTGAAATTCTTGATGGTCAACAAATCCTTGATGATATCAATGATGAGGTAAAACTCACAGTTAAATTCCAAGTGGTGCATGCAGAAAGTGCCAGTTGACTTGAAATGTTTTACATTCGACTAGTGAATCAAAAATATTACAAGTGAATTTCTAAATCTGAGAATTTTAGAACTGTTGATATATCATGCATTCTTACAAGTACTTGTATATGTTTTTGAAATGAATATGTGACAGTTAGGAAATCATGCTGATTCTTCTGATCTGTACATCGGGGTTACAAAACGTAGAAAAATCTCTATCGGGTCAGAGAAGCCAAGGTGGATTACGTCCTTGGAATACCATGGAGTTGTAGGGTAATGCTCATGACTACTTTCTATATTGGCTAGTAAATTGTCTTATTGTTGCTGCATATGTTCTTGTAACGAAGAAATATGAATTCCTTAAAACAAGAACATCCTTCACTGTGTCCTATGCTTTGATTTATGGTTCGTCTGCTCATCCCTGTCAAACTCCTTGCTCCATCTACCACTTCACTGTAGTTGCTGTTGTTTTCCACATTAAAATTATGAATGGTACAAGATCATTGCCGGAAAATCAATTTAAAGAATGTAAAGTAAAAGATCTTAATTCAGACGGTACTACAATCTTAATCTACATATATTATGTTTATATCTTATCATCTGCATCTGCGTCTGCCTTCTGTGTTGTTGTGTGGTCTGGTCACTGGCAATTAAGGCCTGGCTGCAGTAAAGTGAATGATTTTTGGGAAACAAGGATTCTCTTTTGATTTGAATATGTTTGATAATTTGATAAATCTTTATGATTTAAGTTTTAACACGAGGCTTTTCTGCAGAGGAGATGATCAGTACCTTTATGTCAGTGGCGTTGGCATAAAAACTGGTGATTACTTCAACTTCTATCGTTCAGACCCCCAAACTGCATTAGCTTCATGTAGCAACATCTCTGCCAACCTGAAAAAATTGAAGTTAGAAGAAAATCCAAAACATCGCCGTCACATGAGTGAAGTATTTGGGGGTTTTATGTTCGCTTGTTGTGGCCGTGGTGAGCCGTTCTTTGGACGGACCAATGTTGATGGCTCTCCTTTTGTGGAGAACTTCCCCAGGGTTCCATTGGCAGGAATATTTTGCGGGGGAGAAATTGCACGTGGCTCTTCGAGGTTGACCGGGGAAGCTCAGAAGGATAATGATGCTCGTTGCACTCTTCATGTCTACAGCACCATTTATCTTGTGCTGTCATATACTCCAGCACCAGCACCAGCACCATTGGAGCATTAGATGTTGCCTGCTGCTCGTCCCTTGAATCTATTTGTTTGATAACCTTCTAGCAGCACAGAACTGTCTATACGCTTAGGTTACGCGACACAGTCGACAATTGATGAACGGCCTGTATGGCCGTAATTTAATTTGCCGGTAGGTGTTTTTTTTTTCTGCATAGAACGCGTTCATGCTATATAAAAACGGATTAATATACAGTTGATCCAGTCTATATTATGTAAGATTATTTTTCAAGAAAATATAGAAAGGCATGAATGGGAATGTATACGTATATGTTGTGTGTATGTACGCACATATACGAACTAATTAGAAACAAGGGAATCTGCAAAAACAGAACTGGTTATAAACTTTTAATCAAAAATATTTCTCGACAGACTAAATATACAAAAAACCTTAAGCTGAACAAACAATAGAAGGCCACTACTAGTGCATGTATACGGCTTCTAATTTCATTTTCGCTCAAAAGTTTGAAACTAGTTTTATTTGTGTATGTTTACTTTAAACGAAACGCGATGAAGTGAAAAGTCAACTGTGATATTGGCACGGCTCAATCAAATTAAAGGACCCAAATTTTGAGAGATTTTATTTGATTGAACCATACCAACATCCCACATTTTTCAGCAAACACAAGAACACAGAACCACAAAGGCATGAATCATCACTTCAACCTCCATGGATCATATCACTCTCTCAAATACCTCCTTCTTTATTTGGTTTTCGCCGTGACGCATATCGATCGCCTTGGTCTCCGCCGCGACACATATCGACCGCAAGGCAAGTCGACGGTGCAGAGGGAAAAAGGAGAGGTGATGGATGTGGAGAAGCCATTGAAGTTGCAAATGGGATAAGAGAAAGAGTGGAATTTATAGAGACGGGTTGCAAACAAATATAAGTATAAAACGGTTGAGATGTCAAAATCTTTGTTCATTTGGAAGATGGAATATATTAAATAAAAATTAGCAATTTGGTAATCCACAATGCTTAGTGGTTTATGACATTAAATTGTCACATTAATGCACAACAAATGATGCCTTGCCTTAGTCGCAATTTCCTCCTCATTTCTAATTATAATGTTTCCATTTTTTTAGCAAGTGGTACATAGTCTTCCTCTTTAATGTATTATGTTCCGAGTTTAAAACCTCTCGCATTACTTTAGTTTAGTATAACAAAGAGTTTAGTGTTCAATGAAGCATGCCATTTTATGCGCCTCATTCCTCATAGGAAGCTCAACCGCTTGCGGAGGGAAGCAAATAGTGTTGCTCGCATATTAGCAAGGATTGGGCTACAGTTGGATAATGTAAGAATTTGGTTTGATGAACCTCCTGATGTAATAAGTGATCTTCTTTTTGAGAATATAATTAATTTATAAATCTGTTGGTGTGGAATACTCTTTTTTCATTCGACCGGGTTGAAATTTTTCGACAAAAATTTTATTGAAGCCCATGTACTCGCACTCTATCCTCACCGTTTTTATGCATTCTAAACTTTAATGAATGAATATCGTACTTGATCTCAAAAGGATTTTCATCACAATGGTCTTTGAGATTGATCAAACTCATCATTTTGGATCATTACTTTCAAAATCAATCAATGTCGTCCTTGACATTCACTACCCCACATCAATTTGGTCATTTCGTTAAGATTTCGTCAATTATTCTGTTAGCTTGTATGTGGGACCCACAAATCCAATGAAATGATGACACGTGGATTACACAAAATAAGGGTTTTATCGCAAATGGTCCTTGACTTTGATCCAACTCCTCATTTTTGTCCTTGAGTTTCAAAAATCAATAAATTTGGTCCTTAACTTTCACTACCGCACATCAATTTTTGTCATTCCATTAAAATTTCATCGATATTTTTCATTTGTGTGTTGATGTGGTCCCACTAATCCAATCATATGGCTCCGTGTGGATGAACTACAAGAAACTATTTTTTTAAGAGTGAACCAACGGATGAGTATTCCGTGCTGACATTTTTCTCACATCCCACAACCCCAATTGAAAAAAATATCAATCTAAATTGGATAAAATCCAATCCAAATTCAATTCAAACTTGATAGTATTATAACCAACTAGAGAGAATGAGGAGTAGTTCAGGAGACCAAGTAGTTTAATGGTGTCATGGTGCCTTCCTTTTCTTTTGGAGCATACCCTGATGAAGACGACGATGACTTTTTTTTCTTTTAGTTTTAGTTTTTAGTTTCTTATTTTACTTTTAGTTTTAAATTAAAAAAAAATTAGTTTCTTATAGTTAATCCATGTGGCATCATGTGATTGGATTAGTGCAACAAAAAATATTGACGAAACTTTAGCGAAATGATTAAATTGATGTGCGGTATTGAAAGTCGGGGACCAAATTTATCAATTTTTGAAACTCAAGGACCAAAATGTGGAGTTTGGTCAATGTCAGGGACCATTTGTGATACAACCCTTATTTTGTGTAATCCATGTGTCACCATTTCATTGGATTTGTAGGTCTCACATACAAACTAACAAAATAGTTGACGGAATCGTAACGAAATGACTAAATTGATATGTAGTAGTGAATATCATGAACAACATTTATTGATTTTGAAAGTGAGAAACCAAAATGATGAGTTTGATTAATTTCAGTGATCATTTGTGATACAAATCCGATTTCAAAATATAGAACTTAGAGTAGCCGAGAATATTCTATGAAATCATTGTCATCCGATTTAGGTATGCTCCAGTGAAGTGTTGAAATTTAAGGTCTCCTTTCTGGTTGGTGGTTGGAAAAGTTGTCATATTCGCATAATTACGGCTTTAAAATTGTAACCAAGAGGGGATTAGAATCACACTGAAAGTTGATAGGGCAAATTGGAAGAAAGTTGTTAGTTGAGACGATAGTTACAAGTCTTTATTTTTTTAAACGATTGATATTTTACTTTAAACTAATTTAAAATCGCAGAGTAAAAAATTCAAACTCGACTCTATTAAAAAATTACATATGTTATAGACAACGTAACTACACTCATACCTGCCAAACCATAAGATTTTATTTGCCGAAGCCGTCTCAGTATCTTTTCACTAGAGACAGAAACCCATGAGGCCACGCACTCAATGACTTAAACCTAATTTCTTGTCCCATTTTCTCCACGATTTAGTGCATGTCTTTCAAGGGAAAATGAATATATCTAATCTATATCAAGCCTTATTGATAACGAAACAAGATTTGACCCAACAACTACTTATAATCAAACTCGTGACCTAGTCAAGTTATATTACTTTGGCATTGCTTTTCAAGGATATGAAATCACGTTGTACTTTCGTTTTTGTCAGCAGAATCGAACTCTTGACCTAGCCAAATAATGGTTTTTTCCTTTAAAAATACGAAACCTTGCATTGTATAATCCCACATGAATCGAATCTTGCAAAGATATACGTTGTATATATAACAGGGATTATTATTCTATATTTAAGGAGATTAATAAACCCGTCGCATTTAACAGGATTTTTTTAAAAGTTCAATAGAAAAAAATTGAGAGAGATATCTTTTTAGTCGCGTGCGAGGCACATCCCCTCACCATACACTTGGAATATTTATAAAAAGAGATGTTATCCCAAATAGTTAGCAATGTTGCAACCGGTAAAATGTCAAACCTTATTTCTTGGAAATATATCGATTGGGATTTGTTTGGTGCCCTTTTCCATCAATCAAAGTTCAAACCAAAAACATAAAAACAAGTTATAGCCGGCATCCGACCAATAGGAAAAATGATGGAAATTAATATACAGTCGGCAGCCGACAAATGAACAAAACACTAAATTTAGCCATCTTTCAATTTTTACTGGTCTCTTTTGTGCCTACTAAATATTTGTTGTAATGCTTGCTAGGTACATTTTAACATGTTACATCGACATCACTCTACAAATTCTCTCTTTTATCGCTCATCAAATTGTATCAGCATAAGTCAATATCTGTTGACATGTGCATAACATGATTTAACTAACTACAAGCCTACAAAGTACTCGACGAAATACGTTGGTGAATAAACTGAAAAGAAATATTGAGCGCCTAGCACTTTGTTTCTATCTAAAAAACTTGTATTTAAACCCCCCAAGATTCGAATTCTGGATCCAATATGGATATCATAACTCTAGAAGAACAGCAATGGTGAATCTTTTTATATATGGCATCAAGTCAGCTACAACCACACACTGAGATTGAGCTTAAACAAATGGGGATGCAAGTGATCGGAGTTTCCTTATAAGTGCCGGCCGGAAACTACGATTAGAACATCCGATTGTCGATTGATATTTCAAAACAGTACGATCGAAATACAAGGTGGACACCCAAAAAAGACAGCTCTGTCTCGGAGCTGCTTATTTCCTTACGAGGAAAGCCTCCAGCTAAACGATACAACGAAACATGACGATGAAACTGATCAAATGGAAATCCCCAAAGATTTCTTGAACTTTTCAACCTCCAAATATACTGTGGAATACGGGAGGAATTCTTGGAAATATTCTTTGCTTAGATCGTTTATTGCGACAGCGAGTTTTGGGATCTCCAAGGTCTCTTCATGTGTCAGGGTTCGGACAAACCTTGCCGGGTTTCCAGCCCAAAGTTCACCGGTTGGAATTCTCCTCCCCGGGGGAACCACAGATCCAGCTTCAAGGATAGCGTGGGTCTCCACCAAGGAACCTTCCATTAGGATCGAATGTTGCCCGATAATGCATTCTGGCTCAATTGTGCAGGACCGCAACAGACTGTATGCGCCAATAGTCACAAACCTCTCAATGGATGTCTCTGCTGGAAGTCCTGAGATAGTGAAAGTGGTTGCGTGTTATAAACTCAGAAAATCCCAGTAGATTAATTAGCAATAGATCCCTTACATTTCATAACAGACGTGATATGCACGTCAAGAAAATACATCAACAACAAATAACAATTGATATACAAGAGTCATAGTCACCTTCTAGGATGCACAAACAACCGATGTATTTTTAAAATGAAAACATATGCTCTTTAAACAGAGCCAATGAAAAAGATAGACTAGATCATTATATACAAGTTGATGAAAATTAAGGTTGGTCTCTGGATAGGACCAGGAACAATGTAGAGATCAGTGGAAACTCGGCCTAAAACGAATCAAGAAACACGATGCTCTAGGGTTATATGCTAAACATAAGGAAATTCCAAATTCTTGACTGAAGTGAATTTACACCCCAAGTATAAACCTAAAGGTCAAAAAGTTTCACGCAAGAGAAGTTGCGAGATATAAGTTCAGGAATGACCAGATAACCAGAAACACTCAGCTGTTTTAAAACATTAAATACAAATGGCAAACTAATCGATATTACCACTTTCTTACATATCACATTCTACTGACCTTATCCATCACTAATTATCAGAACCTGCTGTTCCTCACAAAGAAGAGAATTCCTATATTGTATAATACTTGACACCCATGCCTAGCATATTTGTCTAGCCACGAATTCAGGAAATGGAGAATGAACTAAGGATAGTCTAATAGATGTTGCATGGACACTCCGAAACCCCGAAGTATCGGAGTGTTGGACACCCCGACACCCGACATGCCTCGGACACGCCCCAGACACAGTTTGGACACGGTCCAGACACAGCAGGCATTTTTTGTAAATGTAAAGACATTTTGGGGCAGTTCTGTAACTATTGAAACTTCTAAAACCTAAAAGTTTGCCAACCTCCTCTTCAGTCATCTCTCTCCAATTAGAGGCCGTAATCTTTACTAATGATGACAATTAAGTTCAAGAAGAAATAGAAAGAGAGACTTGAATCTTGTGTTGTTTAAATTATTATGCTTGTGTTTTAATACTTATAATCTATGTAATATTATTATAAATTTATTATATTTTAATCGATGTGTCCTAGTCCTTATTTAAAGTGTCGGCGTGTCACGTATCGCCATATCCGTGTCTGTGTCCATGCAATATATAGGCCCCATATTTGAATAGAAACTCCAAATGGCAGCGGCAATTGCACACTACCTCTAGAAGAAAAAACTACACCGTGCCCACCTTTGTTTTTTTTTTTTAAAAAACCTTCTATTTCTTTATGCCCATACTACTCAGATAATAGCCATCATACTATTGCACAAGACGGTCCCTTTCTTCCAGTCAACAAAAGCACGATGGTTCTCAAAGAACAACAAAATGCAAGAAGGAGGAAACAACTTTGATTCCCTTGACAATTTATGTCATACGTTCAAAACAATAGTGATAAAGAATCAGATGGTATCCCAAGGTCTACCATGTGCAATAATCCAAGTACAAATTTACATCGCAAGATACTCCCTCCAAATCATGGCAGAAGGATTAAAACTAGGAAATGATACCTCATCAATAACTACCTCAACAATGCTTGCATGAAACAAGGCTCAAGGATTCAAAATGACAATTTTCCAAAAGCTTTTGTCCAATCTAAATATTGCGAGGAGAAATTTATATTCATGTTAGTAAAGAAGAACACACGTAACTTCCAAATCATTCAAATTCTACAAAAACTAAACTCCAACCACTCAAATAGAGAGAGCAGACACATTGGTAGATAAGAAAAATCTGCACAAAGGAGTCTTCAATCCATTTATCCTTCCAAACTAATTCTTTCCAAATCCCCACAACTCGAAGATTGGGAAGGGAGGAAATAATGAGTAACAACCTGGTGAAATTTCTTCGAAAGGACATCAACTCGAGCTTCCAACCACTATATTACAACCTCACTATTGACACGATGCAATGACAATATGCCAACAGGAAACTTTTCTTGTTTCAGAAAGAAGTCACCATCACCACTTCACTAAAGGAGTAATATTTTTATTTTGAATTGCCTACCCTACCGGACCCGAAAAACTAACAGCTTGTGAGTTACATTACACCTAGTGAAAGACCCAAATGCACTACAAAATTCCATTACCTACTTACAAAGTACTATTTTTTCCTTCAAATTCTCAGCTAATTAACCTCAACAGCTTACCAAATACACAGCAGCTATACTCAGTGTAGCAATCCAAAACTACAATTCAGCTATTAACACACATCAATTCGAATAATTAAAAACCAATTGTAGGATTAACAACAAATTAAGAAACCAAATGAAATATTTAAAGAAAAAGCTACAAAATTGGGGAACCTACCTGTTGGGGAAGACCAAGCGGCGTGAAGGACGCAGCGTTCCTGAACATTGGAGCAGAATCCGACGGTGATCTTATTGAGATCGCCGCGGAGGACCGACCCGGGCCAAACGGATGCTCCGTCGCAGACCGTGACCTGACCCGCCAAGACCACGTTGGGTGCCACGTAAGCGTCGACGGCGATCTTCGGGAGCCACTGGCCGAGCGGAATTATCCTTCTCTGACCTCTGTAGTCCCATTTGACCCGATCCGGTGAGGGTGTTATGGCCGCGGCTTTTGCTGCTTCGGCGGCGAAGGTGCGGTGGAAGGTGGATGGATGGGCTGAGCTGGAGAAGGAGGCTAGGGTTTTTCTGGAGACGCGAGCTATGGCTGCCATTGGGGAGAGAGAGGTGGTTTGGGAGTGGGAGCTGGAAGGAAATGGAGGAGAGAGTGAGGTGGGGGAGTCAGGAGTCCGTTGGTTTGGATGTGGGCCGGAGATTGGGATGTATAATGGGCTAAAGCCCAGAAAAGTTTATGCCGAAAAGCCCAACTATCATGGTCCAATCAAAGTAAGCCCCAACCAACTAATTGGAATTAGAATCCTCTTGGATTCAACGATGAGAAATTTTCCCTCACATGACGTAGTGTTACCAATTCATGTATTGATATATGAATGAAAGAAAAAAGTTGACATGTCACGGATATACAATATAATGTTAATAAATAAATATACGTATTATAACATGAATGAATTGATAATATCACGTGACGGTGTAACAGTCACACTAAAAAACTTCGCATGAATCATAACTTAAACGCTAACACTAAAAGTGAATCTATTACTTCAAAAATCAAATCGTGCTCATTTGTCTTTGGGAGGGCAATCCAAATTTGAATCTTTGAACATTTGGAAGAAAAATTCATTAAATTAAGATTTAGTTGATAAAAAAAATGTGTGTTTTAATCTTAGCCGTTTATTACATAATTTGGTTTGCAAGTTTACCTAGTTAATAATTGCTTCTCTGATGCTATGGCATGATCTAGCAAGTAGCCAGTAGGTTGAGGGTTCTGTGCAGAAGTACTTCTCCATCGGTACTATATATGTATGCATGGGTTGTGAATGTAACAAGAAATATTTTCTGTTTTTCTTTGTGGTGTTTTAAGTTTAGTTGATCTTAATCAGTCTAATCTGTATGAGTTCTTTCTATTGTTCTTGTTCCTCTGAAATAAGAAGACAAAAGTACGTACGTACGTAGCCAAAACAAATACAAAAAATATTATTTTTATCATTATATGGCCAAAAACTTATATGCATAACAACAATCCACATCATCATATACATAAATTTATTTCCACAAACTCCATATAGCTCATACACAAGAAATTAGAAACTCAAGCTAGCTAGGTGCAAATATAATCTTAAGTATACATAAACAACAGCAAAAGCTGAAGCTGCTACAAGCAGGTAGCCTTTTCAAATCAGTTAGGCACTGGATGGTGCTGCTCAGAGATCATGTTGAAGAACCCTGAATTTCAAATTAGTTCACTGCCACACAGTAAGAGTATAATTGATTAACAACAAGTTTAATTAGTGATAAACATTATTAACATAATAATAATTTTAACAAATATATATATATATATATATGTGTGTGTGTGTGTGTATTATATTTTGGGTTAATCTCAATTTACTACCCTAAAGTTTCTTGGTTTTCAACATTTGGTACATAAAGTTTTTTTCATCCTAGAGTGGTACCTAAAGTCATAATTTTGAGACACTTTCATGCATCTGTTAAGGTTGCTGTTAAATCTGCCATTAAATGGTGAAGTAGTGCCCACGTGGACAATAACTGGATGCCGCGTGAATGTTAAAAAATTAAAAAAATTGGGCTAATCTCTATCCCGCCCCTCACCCACCTCACCTTCCCCTCCCCTGATACCCACCCGCCACCATCCCTTTTCACCATCCCTTTCCCCAAAACCCCCAAACAACCCTCCCTCCCTTCTCTCTCCATTCCAAAATTCCACCATAACCCTTTTTTTTTGTCGAACCACCATAACCCATTTCACTGTAATAATCATTCTTCTAAACAAAAATTCCACCATTACCCATTTCACCAAATCACCAAATGAGCAGAAAAGAGACAAGAAAATCTTTAGAGAAACTTATAACCTCAGGAAAAGATCTTGACTTATACATTGGATCAAATAGGTGGGATGCACGAACACCAGAAGGAAATCTTTGCAGAAAAAATCGCAATCTTGAACCCAGATGAGCACGCGGAAGAATAGGGATCAAACGGCCACTCGATTCCGTTGATCCTCGGTTGCACAATGAAACTTCTTTGGCGGTGGGTCGGCCTGTGCGTGCGCCAAGCTCTCATCCAGATCGAGAAACTCCGTCATCTTCTCCGGAGAGACAGCGGCGTAAGTGGTGGTTCGAACAAAAGCTTGCGGCAAATCGGGTTTCTTGATCCGAGTTTGCATTTTGGGCGTTGGCTGTGGAGAAAGAAGGGAGGTAGGGTTGTTTGGGGGTTTTGGGGAAGGGGAAAGGGAAAAGGGATGGTGGCGGGTGGGTATCAGGGAAGGGGAAGGTGGGGTGGGTGAGGGGCGGGATAGAGATTTAACCCAATGTTTTTATTTAATTTTTTTAATATTCACGTGGGCCTATATTGACACGTGGCATCCAATCATTGTCCACGTAGGCTCCATGTCACCATTTAACAGCTTATTTAACATCAACCTTAACGGATGTATGAAAGTATCCCAAAATTATGACTTTAGTACCACTCTAGGATGAAAAAAAACTTTATGTACCAAATGTTGAAAACCAAGAAACTTCAGAATAGTAAACTGAGATTCATCCTTATATTTTTATACCTTGGAAATGCACTAATGCGTGCATTTGCTCCCACAGTAGTTGTCGAGCAGGAGGCATCAGCAACATTAAGCTCGTGCAACTTAATCTCAATTCAAAAGACAAATCAGCACATGTTAATCAAACGAAAGTGTCCAATTAATTAACTAAGCATTTCTATGATTCACTGCAATTGCAATTAATTAATAGAGGAAATTAGGGCAATATTTACTCACTCTTTTTAGCAGATGCGTGTTTTCTTCTTGCGATGCTTTATGCTGCAGCATATTATACAACTAAATTAAAGAAACTTTGATATAAACCCAATTCACAAGCATGTCAAACCCTATGAACTACTATTTCCGTACGTCCAAAGTAACAATTCATTTGAATTAATCGAGCAACTTAAGCAGGAAACTACGAGAGGGTTGTTACCTTTCTTTTCAGCAAGCTAACGTTCTCCGAAATGATCCGTCTCTGTTAATTAGTTAGATTAATCACAGATCAATTAAACCCTAGTTGTTATCAGTAACATATAAATTAAACCAGAAATATATTAACATCATATATACCATTTTAGAGCGGATGCGTTCAACCCCAGTTTTTAACTGTCTTTCCAGCTGCTTTAGCTCTTGCACGCCAAGCGTTGATAGCTCTTCCCCAGCCAAGTTCCTTGATATATAAGTTCATAATACCATGCTAATTAATTTGTAATATGTTGAAAATTGAAATAAAACAACCACATATATATACACGTCACACGGGAAAAAAGTTGTAGTTGCTGCAAACCTACATCAGCCTCATTTCCAAGTTCCCTATTGATCTTCTTAACTCTTCATTTTCATTCCTCCAATACTGTCAAATATATACAGCAGATCAAAGTAATTAGTTTAACATTGCAGAGATAAGAAATTGTTGAAATATTCCACATTGATCGTATTTCTGAGAAAATAAAAGTTTAAATATCATAATCTCACTTCAACTAATACTAAGGCCTTTTGTCATAAAATCTCACACATGATGGACTGTATGAGTGGTAATTAACAAATTGGGGGACAATATTGGATATAGATGTTATTGGAAGTGACATAAAATTGAACTTTGATACAAAATCTGTTTTTTCATGCTTTTGTAGGAGTGATTAATTACTTGCTAATTAGATATGAACTTTTATTTATTTGTTTAAGGGTGATGCCATCTGCACACCCATTTTTACCTCCCACGCACTTCTCTCATATTTTGGCCGCCGAATCGAATGAATTGAAAAAGATCAAAAGACATAAATTAACAAATGGTATGTGAAAGGTAAAAAGGGGTGTATGAATAGCATCACCCTATGTTTAATTAGCTTGGAGAAAAGATCATAGTCATCTTATTTGAAAAGAATTAGGATGGAACATATAGGAGCCCATTTGATCCATCAAAAGAAGAAAAAAGTTAAGAGACATGTTTAATACTCTACTTGAATTCTACTTTTTAAGATTTATATCTTAAATACTTATTTGGTAAGACTATTTTTATTTTTTTTATAAATAAACTCAAAATTAACTTGAAAAAATTAACCTAGTTCTAAACAACACAAAAAATAAAATTTTAAAGATTTTAAACTCCAAACCCACTACTTTCTCTCTCCTCTCCTCTCTTCCGATCGTTTTCTACTAGCTCTCTATCTTTATCCTGTTTTTCTCTCTACTCTCCTGATCCAACCTCTCTCTTTTCTTTCTCTCTCCTCCTTTCCAAATATCTCTCCTATTTCTCTCCTCTCCCTCTCATTTGACCTTCCCTTTGGATTTATCTGTCTGTCCAATTGAATCTAGTAGTAATTCCCGAATCCACAGGGAGTTGCTGTAGGGTTTTTTTTTTTTCTTTTCTTTTTAATTATTAAAATTTTAAGAACAATTTGAATCTTATGCCAAACCAATTTTTGGATCTTAAAGAAAATTGTTCTTAAAAATACTATCCTAAAAATCCCTACCTATCCCTGCTTAGGCGCTAGGCAGCTAGCCATCGCCCCAATTAATCCCTGCGTTTGAAAATTAAGAAAGTGGGCCTAGAACCTCTTAGCCGCCCGTCTAAGCACCCACTTAGGCCACAACTCTCAATTAGACAGAAAATATATAACTTTCATTTTGCATTTTATTTTTTTAATAAATTGTTAGAGAATTGCTGAATACTTAGATTAACACTCATTATATTTTGGTTCCCCATGTTTTTTATATTTTCTAATACTTTCATATATGTCATTCTATTTTTTTAATTTATGTATCTTAATACAATTATGTGTTTTTAAGTATAAACATGCACTTAGTTATACGATAAATAATAAGTTTACTTAAATTCACCTAGTTCATCTAGGCCCTACCTAGCTGCCTAGGCACTAGGCCTAAGTCTTATGCCTAACTAATGGCTAACGTCTTTTAGAACCTTGCTTAAAATATGTTTTTAAGAAATGTTTTGAAAATTATGAATTTTTTTTAATACGATGCCAAATATGCCCAATGAAACTAGATTTTTGTATATATTATAATAATAAAATTATTTACTATTACTCCATAGTTCACACTCTTGTTAGTGTCACCCATGTTATAATACATAAGTGTATTTATTTCTTAATTGTTAATACTTTAGGACATGAAATATCAATTTTGACGTCCAATTATTTTATACCACGTGAAATAGTAACACTATGTTTAGCTATAAGCGTTAGGCCGAAAAAAAAATTCCACCAAAAAGAGCAATATATAAATATATTGTATATATACCTCCATTGTTCTGGCCCTTAAGAAGCTTGAGTTGTTGGATTCAGGCAACCCTACTTCCCTTCTATACATGGAAATGGTCCTAGTTATGCTGCATCACACGTTACCATAACCAATTATTATTGGGAAAGATCATCATCAAACCTAGCTAGCTAGTTTAATTACTTGTTAATTAAACGTACTCGTGGCTTGCAAATTGGTAGGCCTTGCCAGATGGAGAGAAGATGATGAGGGCAACTTCAGCATCGCAGAGGATAGAGAGCTCAAAAGCCTTCTTCAGAAGTCCATTTCTGCGTTTTGAGAATGTCACCTGTCTGCTTGTTGGGTTATCTATTCTCTTCAGCTCCACTTTCCCCCTCCCCATTTTTACTAATACCTTATTATATTTGTCCACTGTAACTTACTCACCGTTCCATACTATATATATAGAAGAATATCGATGTTAATCTGTAATTAATTTGGAGATTCATTCGTGATTAGCGCTTCAAGGTGCTGGTTAATAATATTTGGACTTTTGACAAGACGTCACTATAAAATTCCCCTTTTGCAATCATCCCACTCGAATTTCATTATTATTGCCTTATTGGTACTTGTATAAGACGAACCCTAACCATTCTACTATTTTAGTTACGTGAAGCTTCGGCCTCTTTCTCAAACCTAACCTCCTCAGTCCTGTTTGGCTTGGGGGTTAAAACTACAGCATTGTAGTAACTCAAACATGGTTTTGAAAATAAGAGATTATCTTATATCACTAATTTAGCTCATATCAATCGTTTACTAAACGATTAGTGCACTTTTCAGCATGCGGCAAACATTTATTATTGGATGTTGACATCACTAAAACTAAAATTTGATTGAGGAAAAGGCGTATTGGATCCTTGAGTTGTTCTATCCCCTAGCTACGTGCCCGTGTTTATGAACCCTCAAACAAAATAATGAGCATATTTATAGAAAATTATAGCGTTCTTCTAGGGTTACATCTAAAGATTTTTTGGTAGAACAATAATGAACTCTGTATACATGTTTCTTACTAAATGAGGAATAAAAAATTGGAATTGTTATTAGCATTCCAACAATTTCACTCTACACTTCTTACAAGTGTATTTTTCTTTCTAATTATATAAAATTTGAAATGCAAAATGAGATTTTTAAAGTGTCAGTAACAATTCCCTCAAAAATTTGAATCCCTTCTAACTTTATGTCAATAGATATTATATGACCACATGATGTGTTACTAAACATCACCTATTTTGATTACATATCTACCTTATCGTGTAAGCTAACTAGCTAATATTGTGATTTAAGAATGCAGAAATATGATCAACAATATGTAGTCAGTAATTAAACGCATAATAACAATTTGGGTGCATTTTTATTCACCACCTTTAAGTGATGGTAATAATCAGTACCCTAAACTCATCTAACAGTTATAAATAAAGCGGTGGTAATAATCAGTACCCTAAACTCATCTAACAGTGATAAATAAAACGGTGGACAAAAGTGTTCGGTAACAATTTCTCCACTAACACACACACATATATATAAATTGTGTGTTGCGATTTTACCAATCACTAGTTGACACGTGAAACTTACTTAAAAATATTAAAAAAGGGGATGAGACATACATGGTTGTAAAATCAAAAGTTTGTGAAACCCATCAGTACCTGTTGAATAAAATAGGCGAATAAAATGAGAGGTATAAAACTTTTGTTGGGTTTGCAGGAAAATGTGGGTGACAAAGCGTCAAATTATGGATTATTTTAGGGGAGATTTATGGACATGTTAAGACAAGATTGGAGCTGTGCCTCAATGGTGGGCCACGCCACTATGATGGTGATGGACTTATACCCAGTAGCGAAAGTGGAGGGGATAAGGATTGTCTGCCCTCCTAGTTGTGATGCCCTTCCATGTCCTCCTATTTTGTGCGGTCACAGTTAAACTACGTTAATATTTTATATTAATTTTTTAATGAGATAATAAGACAAAAAACAATAAAAATATAAAATATTGACGTGGTTTAACCGTAACCGCACAAAATAGGAAGGCATAGAAGGGCATCACAACTAGGAGGGCAGACAATCCTTGTCCCAGCGGAGGAGAGAAAAGAGGTGGACTTAAAACCGAGGAGTGGAAAGAGAACGACTTAAATTATTATCATTATGGGGTGGAAGACTCGAGAGACAAAAGATGGAATCTTTGAGTCTTCAAAATTTAATCTATTATTAAGAGACGAGAGAATTTGAAACTATCCTTATAAATTTGAGAATGAGGAAATTTAGAATCGGGGACGCATAAATAAAAATTTAACACTTTATTTACTATAATATTAAAACACATATAATCTAATATTTAATTAAAGATAATATTAAGGAGACCAACTTTTACCTTATTTGCAAATTAAATAATGTGTCATCAATATGAAATAAGTACTTTGATCAATACTTAAGTAATAACTTAATTATCAACAACTACATCATTCGGTTTATAAAATTTAATTTAAATTTTTGATATACCTAACATTACCCTTTAATTAAATACATAGTTGAGTGTTTGAGACATATCAAGTTTTGTCTAAAAAATAGATCTCTCTTCACTTGGTACGTCCATGTTTAATATGTTTTAAAGCACTTTATGCAAAACTTTTATTTTAAATGTAAAAGAACACTACTGATCATTAGACATGATACGTTAATAGTCTGTCCCTCAATATGTTTACAAGGATTTGCACTCTTAAACGAAGTTCGACTCCAACTCGCAACTCACAAACTTAAAGTGAAATCCAAACCATAAAATTCTCAAGTGACCAATATCTCATTTTATCAATCACTTTGTGTGTTTTAATTGCTCCATCTAGTCATAACACGTGACTTAAGAGAAGAATGCCGACATGTCTCTCATATTTTCCTTTCCATGTCTCTTCCCTCAGCTAACCAATAATCAAGTCAAAAGCTTTACTATTTTCTTGTATGGTTCTTTCTAACAGTTAATCGAACGTGGTTTAATGTCTTTTCGTGTTGCCCTACAAGTTTAAGCATTTGGCTAAATTAGATTAATGATTCCCGTGGTGATAGGGTAAATGGAAGACAGCCTCGTGGTAAAAAAAAAATTCAGATTTAAACTCTCGTGGTGAAGTCTGTTAGGATTCAAGCACAAATTAATATTTATGTTAAGTCTCATGGTATTCCTTTTCACTTGTAAGTAAGAGGTTTTAGGTCCGAATACGAACTCTTCCCTCTTTTCAATGTAAAATATATCGTTGTACTTATAAAAAAAATGGTTGCAAAAAATTAAAGTTGGGAGGAAAACAAAAGTGGTAAACTCTGCAAATAGTTTTATATTCTTTTTTGGATTTTTCATATTAGCCCTGTTTTTATTTTCATGGCAGACAAATTGTATTTATATAGCCTATGTTACGAAGTATTCACTGCATCAAAGACAAAGATGAATTTCATCAATGGCACTGCAGACCTTTTTGTTGGTGTTGGAGAGTTGCAGACCTAAATGGCAAAAGGGGAAGATGGAGGCTAGATCCATTTTAACTTCACAAAATTCCCTTATCAAAATATTTTATTTGAAGTTTATTTTCATTGTCACGTCATTTAGTACTCATCTTAACTTTTAATTAAAATCGTTAAATGTAAATAGATCCAAGGGCTTATAAAGTGTAAAATTATTTGACAAATGTTTGTCCTTTGATCTATCTCATTTTCTAATACCCTTTTTAATGAGTGCTACTATGTCCACCCATAGTCTTATATTTTTCCAATCCACTTGTATTGCTAAAATATCCCTAACAATTATAGTCCTAAATAAAATAAATATAAAGGATGATTGAATATTGAAGATTTTACAAAAATGGATAAGCCATGAACGTCCCCGCCCAACCCAGTC